TAACATTTAATAAAGAAAATATAGAAAATAAGTAAGATTAAAAATCTGTATTACATTTTTAATTTTAATTTCAAGAATATCATCGAAATTTATCAAGATTAGTTCAAATTCGATTTAATTATTAACCATTTTGTCCTTAAATCTATACCTGATTGATTTATAGGCTCTCCTTACAAAAGCACTCCTTATGCTTGCAATATTACTTATTAAGATATAAAATAGTGTAGTGATGTAATTGGAAACTAAAAATATAAACAATATTCATACTACTTTCTAAAATAAGACTATTTTATTGGAGTTGAATCTTAAATTATCTCAAAACATCTTTGTAATTTTATCGGAGGATCTAATTTCTTATCCTTTTCACATCCCAAAGATGGATATAGTTATCATAACTAAGCAAACTGAATTGACAAATTCGAATGAACATTTTTTTTCTTTTTAGACAATTAAATAAAAGGATGTGGTTATCCTGAGCACCAATTGCTAATGTATACAATCAAGAGAAGAGCATACAGATAAGACGTATCATTATGTTAAAAATAGGCTTGCTATTATACTGATTTTACAATCCACAACAAGACAGCACACCTACCACCTGATGCTACACTATTTCCATCAGGAGAGTAGCATTAAGTCAATAATCATCAGTAATAATGATATGTAGATTGTTATTTATTTCTAATTATAATCTCAGGTAGGTATAATTATATCTTGAAATCTTACTCCTTTTAGGGGATATATTGTTGATCAATTTATATTCACAGTATTTTCTATTTAAAAATACATTAAATATCTATTTACTAAATAATAAAAGGTTATTGAAAATTTGGCTTTAAAAAAGGACTCTTTATAATTATAAAATCTAATTGTTTAACTTTAGTATAGTTTAAATTAATTGTTTAATAATCTAGGATAATTTTTATTTTCTTAATTCTTAACATATCTTTTTTACTATCTTTGATATTAAATATACATTTTTATTAATGAACTAAAAAAACCAACAAATCCCTTTAATAAAAATTAATAAATTGAGTAAAGCTATCATAATATCCTAAATTTAAAGAGAATGACGATTTTTAATCTACTTGCTTTAAATAATCATTTCAGAATTTATATTGGCCTCTTTGTTGCGCTCGCTTTGGTGGAGAATTATTAAATTTAGTATCATTTAAGTTTAAATTTCTATAAATATTAATTGAGAACAGTTTTTGTATATTCCCTATAACAAATTCACCTTATATTATAATAATATCTAAGTAAAGGATGTGTACATTTAACTGAAATAGAATAAAACTATGGAAAATATTTACTTAATTATCTTATGAAGTGAAGATGAAGAGTCAAACTGATAAAGACATAATTAAAAAAAATTAGAAATTGATTGTAATTATAATTGTAATATTGTTAATGAATAATCATGTTCACTTTTATGTAAAGTCTTCTAAAAAGCAGCATCCTTTAGATTTGAATAATTATCTTAAATCGTATCCTTCATAATTTACAAAATCTCCTATCAAGATCAGAGCTCCTTATGCTTGAAATAATGGTTTTTGAGATATCCGTAGAATTGTTATAGTAGAGTTGATAACTAACTTATTTTAAAATTGAATAACTGATAAAGTATTTTTATAGAATAGTGGTGCTTTAAATTTGGTTTGAATATCTTTATAAGTTTGGTCATGGATGAAATTACTATTCTATAAATAATATCCCATAAAAAGATTGAGTTATCTTCGCTACTAATGATTAATGTATTTCCATAAGGTGAGAAAAAGACTGAGTAGACATATCCTCTCTCTATTTCAAAATAGGCTTTTTATTATCCGGTTTTGACATCCCATAGACGGATAGACTTATCATCACTACCAGAAGCTAATGTATTTCCATCAGGAGAAATACAAACTGACCAGACAGTTCCACTATGACCATCCAACCTATTCAATTCATGGACTTTTATGTTCTTCCATTTACAATTGAACATTTAAGCTCCATTAAAATTGACTCCACTAATATCCACATTCTCAAATTCTGATCCATTCAAATTACATCTTACAAAGTTTCCTCCAATTAAAGAAGTATTCTTGATCCTGATATTTTCAAATGATTGGTTTCTAAGATCAACCTTCATGGCCACTAATAAACTAAGTCCATTT